GACAAGGTTTTGTCATCATCTGGTGACCTGATGATGACAAAACCTTGTCGAAACATTGTACATTTGCTGTCATGTTAAACTTGTATTAAAGTTTTTCTTCATTACCCATTTAAGCCGTCTCCAGCCATTATCAATCTGGATCTGTGTTCACTTTATTTAGTCTGTAATAGACCTAAACCTATGAGTGACCTAGCCTATAACATTATATCTTAGTTGTAAGTTGTAAAACTAAACAGTTTAGTGGTATTGACTACAGTTGTAACTTTAACTTAGTAAGTGGAACACTACAACTGTAACAAGTCTGTGTTTATTGCAAAAGGGGTACGGTTAATGGGCTTGGACAATGAAAATCTGCCAATTGGATTTAGAATAAAGAATACTGGAAGTCTGAGATCTTAAGTCTCAATTCTCTTTATTACATCTCATGAGCCAAAGTATTGCTTCATGAATAACTTAGTTGATGTGTATGATCTTTTAACAAGACTGTTTTCTGAGCAGTAGGCTCCAGATAATGACTCTGATTGCATTTCAGAGTGTAAAAGCTGTTCACCTCCCCTATATCTTCTCTCTGAGTGTTTTCAGTCAATTCAATTTCTCTTTGTTTCCATCCTTTGGTGGGTGTGGTAAGTGGGTCAGACTTTCTAGTGTATATTTCTGTTAACAAAGAAGATTGAAGGCTATAAAAATTAGACTTTGCCCCAGTAATATGTATATTATAATGAATAATCTACATTAAACTCCATACTTCAGAGAGGGGTTGTAAATAAATTAGAGAATGGGCAAGACCTAGAGAATAAATGCGTCACTTTTAATACAAGGGAGATTCAGGATTTATTTACAAATTTCATTTTTAAAATTAAGACATTAAAACTTATGTTAAAATTTGATTTATTAACTAGGTTTTGATGCCAAATTTATTCATATATATTGATAATAAAGTAGTTTAATTAAATTTTGAATGTAACTCTGTAAATAGTTGTCAAATGCATTTTAACCTACTCGTAGCAAGAGGGTTAAAGATTTGTTTGTGAATATCTGAAGATTTTACTGTGTCAGTCTGAATGGAAGTTGATTTTCATGCTAACAATAAAGATACTTCTCGTCTTACAATTTTTGTATTCCATCTGCAGAACTTCCAGAACCTCCTCAATTAATATTAAAAGTTTTTTAAAATTAAAACCTTATTTTTATTTATTTCCTCTACCCTAACACTAACTGTAGCTAAATCATCAATATAATATAAAATAAAATTTTGAACATTATGAAATAAAATGAACAATACCTTTTTTCTTCATCTTCTTTGAAGACATCATTTGGGGAGATTTTTTATTTTCTGAATTTCACAATTTCAACTGTTTACTTTTTCACATATGGTTCAGTTTTGATTTTATTTTTTTATTGCCTGTCTTGTTCCACATAGTTTATTCATCTCAGAAAAGCAACATATCACAATGGGAACACATTAGCAGATTCCCGTATGATGACATTACTACTAGCTAAATTGGCATATTTGCTTTTCTTGAAGATTGATATTGAAACAAAAAGTTGTGTACATTTCAAATATGGATCTTAGAACATAAATAATATATAACTCATGACAGAATATCCACAAAACAACTATAACTTATATGACCTAACTAAACTGTAAAATAAGTTAAAAAAGTCATTAATATATGTTGCTAAACTCAAAAGAATGGTTGCAAGCTCAAAATAAAGATAAAAAAAGCTCTTTCTATTAGTTATAAACATATGAACAAATTAGGACGTGATTTTGAAAACTTCTTTGAATGTTAAGGATAGATTGCCAAGGCTTCTGCCATGGGTTGGGAAAATTTATTGATATCTCAGCAAATGGAAAAGTTAGGACATTGAAACTGTTTATTTGACTTTGTCATTATTTATAAATTGTATTTACATTATTTAGGCAGTGTAGATGCTCTATTATTGAAGTTATACAAATTAAAAGGGGGAGAATTGTGAGAAAGAACTCGCATCACATGATAACAAAAGTGAAGATTGAGAATTATTCTTTGAAGTATTTTCTTTTGAAATTAAGAAATTAAAACTTGGTTAATTATATAAGTTTAAAAACTACATTCTCTTGCTAATTTTATTAAAGTACATTGATAATGAAGTTGTTTAATTAAAGGTTTTAATGTAACTGTGTAATAATAAACAGCTATAATAAGGTATTTAATTTAAAAAACATGAAGATTAGTTGGATAAAGCAGGTTAATAATTCTTCTAAGCTATTTAGCTATTTAAACCTGTAATTGTTTGTGCATTCTGCCGAATATATTTTAATTATTTCCTAATAATTATCATATTTTATAAAATTTCAATTTTCTTAATTTTGTTCATAACAACATGGTTTGGATTAGTTTCAGCCAAATGTCATCAGATGTTGTCACTGTCTGATGGATTAATCAAGATTTTCAGCCAGATTCTGGCAGTATTGACTTGATTTTAAGGAGTTAATAAACAAAAAAAAAACATGAATACTAGTAGGATAAAGCAGGATTTATATTATACTAGGATAAATACTAAGCTACTTAATGAAAAAAAAACACACACTAAGAATAGTATGGTAAAGCAGAATTATAATTATACTTGGCCATTTAATAAAAAAAACAAAAAACACTGAGACTTTTGTAGGATAAAGCAGATTTATAGTTACACCTTGATATTTAGTACAAAAATCTACTGAGACTAGTAGGATAAAGCAGATTAAATTAGATTTAAATTATTTAAATGTCAAAGACCTCATGAAGTTTAAATAATCTAAACGTAATTTTATCAGTACATATTTTGAGAGTATAATTACTGACATTTCCTGTTTATAATGATAGCAATATATGAAATGAGAAAAAATTCTGGTTTGATGAAGTCATATCACACAAGCACCAAGTCTTGGCAGAAAGTCTGAAATCTTTACTTTTGATAAGTGTTGTTTAAATTATTTTAATTAAGATAGATGATATGGCCCCAAGAGAGGTAACTTTCATATTGTTTTCTCATACAATAATTAAATAGCGATAATGGATTATTTTAGATAATTATTGAAGTGATCTGAAAGTTTACTTAAAAACTTAATATGAGAACAAGAAAAAACAACTTGATGCATACTAAAAATGTTTACAATATTCAATACTGTCAAAGACTTGTAGTTTAAAATAGAAAACTGTTAAAAATGTTTCTGGTGGGTTTTTTTCTCTGATCGGCATACAAAGTTGTGAATTACATACGTGTATTTGTTTAGAACTTAATATTTTTAAAAGTTATAAAATAATGTTTTATTTTTTAATGACTGGAAATATTTTTGTTAAACTTAAAATAGTTTAATTTTTTCTGCTTGTTCATTCTGTCATAGAAAACTGCTTTTATTCTCAACTCAGAAAATATGTAAAGAAAGTTTTATATAATGACATATTAATTAATAAACTATGATAAACTCTACTTCAAGGTTTCTCCAGACAATGCCTGTGGTTTTTCTCCAGTGTCCTGTTTTCAAGTCCTTGTTTCAGCTTGCTTTAGCAGCCTGTAATCTTGACCATAAAGATGCTAATTCATCAGTCATGCAGTTTTTTTATAGTCTCATGCAGATTGGTAGACTACATGAGGTAAAATGTTTATTGTTTTACCTACATAATTATAGACTTCATATGATTAAATAGTTTTATAAAGACTGGCTAATTACATGTGAAGAAAGATAATTTTGTAGCCTTGTAAAGACTGGTAAATTTCATTGTTTTAAATGTTACTACAGTTTTATAAAGACTGGCTAATTACATGTGAAGAAAGATAATTTTGTAGCCTTTTAAAGACTGGTAAACTTCATTGTTTTAAATGTTACTACAGTTTTATAAAGACTGGCTAATTACATGTGAAGAAAGATAATTTTGTAGCCTTGTAAAGACTGGTAAACTTCATTGTTTTAAATGTTACTACAGTTTTATAAAGACTGGCTAATTACATGTGAAGAAAGATAATTTTGTAGCCTTGTAAAGACTGGTAAACTTCATGGTTTTGAATTTTACTACAGTTTTATAAATACTTGATTATGTATGATCATCCATTTTGCTGCATAGTCATATGATATCTTTGATATATACTAATTTCCTTTTCCTGTGTCCTTGGACAGATAGATATATTTGCATTGGCTATGCATATAATGCATCCCAATTAAATTTCCTAGTTTTTCACTGTTTATGTGAAAAAAGGCATGTCACTACCACATATCTTCAGCATGATAATATACTGTCACAGCAGTTTTGAGATATATCTGTGCTTCTTCAACAACATTCACTGCTTTACTCCTACAACTATACATCACTGACAAACTTCAAACATGATCACCCGTGTTTTCATTTGTACAAGAAGTTCCCTCCCTATCTTCCCAGAAAAATCAAAGCAGTAAATGCTGGAAAATAACCAAGAATTATTTCAAATAAATCATTGAAAAATGGATACATGTAAAGTGTGTATTGCATATAAAAAAAGGATTAAGTGATGTAACTGAGAACAATAGGCTGAAAATATCACTCAAGTGATTTTTGAGTGTTATTTCAGGCATTTGAAAAATCCACAAAACTCTGTGTATTTTATGAAAAAAAAAAGCTTCTTAGACTTGCAAGTCTCATCAACCATTGAGAGCATAGGCTACAATATGCTTGTTGCCATCATTAAATCTCATCATTCAATAACAATATTGGAAAAAAAAATCTTTAAAAATTACATGTGTGCTGGAAATGAGATTTGTGTCCTGGTGATATTTTATGTGACGTACATATATGTCTTGCCCTATCCTGCTTATTGCTTGTACTATACCCAAGTATCCTCTGATTTAATCTTTTCCATTTCACATCTCTGCTATTTAAAGAAAAGATAAATAAACATGACATCACAAAACAAAGGATTCTGCCATGAAATAATAAATGGTTTTAAAACTATATAGCAAAAACCATGACACTCTAACAGAATTAAAGAAAAGTTCTGAATAAACACTGCTGCCACACTGAAGGGGTTAAACAGACAACACAAGATGTAGTCTAATACAGATAGGTAACCTAGTGGATACTAGTGTTTGTAAGTACTGATAGACAACACAAGATGTTGTTTTTGTAGTCAAATACAGATAGGTAACCTAGTGGATACTAGTGTTTGTAAGTACTGATAGACAACACAAGATGTTGTTTTTGTAGTCAAATACAGATAGGTAACCTAGTGGATACTAGTGTTTGTAAGTACTGATAGACAACACTATATGCTGTTTTTGTAGTCAAATACAGATAGGTAACCTAGTGGATACTAGTGTTTGTAAGTACTGATAGACAACACAATATGTTGTTATTGTAGTCTAATACAGATAGGTAACCTGGTGGATACTAGTGTTTGTAAGTACTGATAGACAACACAAGATGCTGTTTTTGTAGTCTAATACAGATAGGTAACCTAGTGGATACTAGTGTTTGTAAGTACTGATAGACAACACAAGATGTTGTTTTTGTAGTCTAATACAGATAGGTAACCTAGTGTATACTAGTGTTTGTAAGTACTGATAGACAACACAAGATGTTGTTAATGTAGTCAAATACAGATAGTAACCTAGAAGATATTTATTTCTTATGTATATAATCTTAGTTTTTTATATAATTTAAAGTGATTTATATATATATAGTATGAAAAAGTCTTATACAATGAATTAATTTGATTTTGTTATCTATCAAACTGCTGATAAATGAATAATTTAAAATGGCACTTGTGCAATACACACACAATTAAATAGAGTAAAACACTAAAATAATTACACAATAAATTAATATAGCATTGTGCTCCTTTTAATTGTATACTGATAAATGTTGTTATAGTTTTTTTTATTAAGATAAATGGAAATTATTTATGAATTTAAATCAAATTGAAAATATTTTAAGCTATATTTGCCATTACAATAAATTGTAGCATTGCTTTTTAGGTTTTAGTTTTATTACAGTAATTCTGTCATGAGCTAGGCTTGTAGCATTGTTTTTTAGGTTTTAGTTTTATTACAGTAATTCTGTCATGAGCTAGGCTTGTAGCATTGCTTCACATGTTTTTAATTATGTTAAAGCAATTCTATCATGAGCTAAGTGGCTGGCATGGCCTGGTTGTTAGGTTGTCTGACTCACAGTATCTGCAAGTCATGTGATTGATCCCCATCACCAAACGTGCTCACCCTTTCATCCATGGGGATGTCATAAAGTGATGGTCAATCCCACTATTCATTGGTAAAGGATTGTCCAAGAATTGGTGATGGGTGATGATTATCTGTCTTCCTTCTAGTCTATCACTTCATAATCAGGAATGGTTAACAGAGATAGCCTTTGAGTAACTTTGTATGAAATTCATCAAAATAACCAAATATTATGAGCTAGGTTTTTCAATAATTCAGCTTCATTTCATTAAAATGGCCATATTTGTTCATCTTAGTTGTATATTCAGTAATCCAGTACATATATGTAATAGGAAAATACACATGTTTAAGGTCATTTTCTTCTTCTTTAATTTATTTTAAAGTAAACACACTAAAGGAATTAATACTCTGTTTTTATTACTATTTTCAGAAAGCACCAGATTTTACTGTGAGACAGTCATTAGTGAAAGGAATTCTCAAAGAACACAGACAAACCCTTATTTTCACACTAGTTCAAGCTGCCATCTTCCATTTACCTTCCTATGTAATGCCAGACATAGCAGATGTACTGTACGAAATGATGAAATTAGATAAAGAGGTAAGTTTTTTTATTGAGCAACTTGTAACACATCAGTTGTAAAAAAACAACAACAACAGTATTTTAATTATGTTGTAACTAGTTAACTTTAATATTAATTCAACTTTCATCCGTTTATTGTAGTATTTAAATAATGTTGTGATTCCTTTTTGTTTCATTAGCCAAACTAATGATGCTGATATTATATTAATATTACAAAATGGACTTTGGTAAACAAATGTTAAAACTAGTTTAACCTTAACAGGACTGGGGTGTGTACACCTGCATATGAAATTTTAGTAAAAAAGTACCATTCTTCATTCAAAAATACTTTTTAAATTTATATTTTAGGAAAATATAAAATTTTTGATTAAGTGTTTGCACAGGAAAAATAACAAACATATTTTGACTTTTGTTTTTGCAGTTTCTCACTGTATTAACCACCTGAAATTCCCATACAATGAATTCTGAAGAATAAGCTACAGATCTTTTAATTTTTTAAATTTCTTTTGACATTTTTTCAAACCTAATTATGTTTTATGTTATATTCTGTATGTGTAAAGATCCAGAAATATTCTTGTGAAATAAGAATAATTTTAACTTTGCTATCTAACCTGTAGTTGCAAACTTTCCTGATGACAGAAATAATTTTTATTGAATATATTCAGACAACACTCAAGACAGTAATTTATTTATTGTAAACAGACAATAATTTTGGAAACTGATCTTGACCATAAATATTGGTGGCAAAATATTATGTTATGATGTCTGAAAAAAGGTAACATTGATACAATTTTGAAAGGTGAGGTTGTGGTTCACCATTAAAGTTTGGGGAGTCATATGGTGTTTGACTTATTAGTGGAATGTCAACTACTTCAAGTAATAAAGTATCAAAAGAACTATATTAATGAATATCAAACAACTTGAAAATGATTGGATGTATAAAATGGAACTTTCTGACCAAAAGTGAAAAAAAAAAGTAAAACAGAAGGAAGTATTTTTATTGTTTTTCAAAACAGTTTCATAACTCAAAAAATTATATATTTTTTTTCATGCATAAATGAGATACTATCTAGTGAATGTTTACCAAGTTTCAGGCAATTTGGTTAAGTATTTTAGTGTGAGAATTACAATGAAGGAGGGGGTATGAAAGAAAACCTGCTAATAATGAAAAAAATATTAACTATTTTTTTTTTGTTTCTTTGTTAAAGCATTTGTGTTTTCATACTTCAAATCAACCTTTAAAGTTTAATACAAACTACAAATGTAAATTACTTTCTTTTACCCATATTTAACAAAACTTAGCTCTTACCAAAAATAAACGTTTTTCACTTCAACACTAAAACGTTGTTTTTAGATATCACAAAGACGAATTGAAATCTCTTAAGCAACTTAGTTTTTAAAAAAACATTTTTCTTTAGTGTAAAATTCATTAGAAAAGAATAATGAATAAGGTGGTAACCTTCAAAGATTGCTTTTGATAAAATTATTACTACTGCAGATTATGGCTGTGAAACATATTTTGGCTCAGGACGTACTTACACAGTTGCAACCCACTAAAGAGCTTTAGTGCAAAAAACATCTGGCTTGCTTAAATGAACAAATAAACTATTAACTTGTCTCTTCACAACCATTTCACACATTCTTACAAACTAATTTTGGGTCATGAAACTGCTTTCAATTGTGATCCTACTCTTCAGAGAGAAGAATGAAGATTAAGAAGTTAATCTTTGAGAAAACTAAAATATTTACTGTTATTTCAGACTGTAGTATTCAAAAATTTCTTCTGTCTTATGTATGTATTATTATAATAATTTTTAATCGTTTGTTTAGTAATTAGTGAGGAATGGTTTTGATTTTTCAAATAGTTTAACAATTAACTTTTGTTGCAAAGTTTGTTATTCAAGCTTTTACAATGAACTTCATAACAAGAGTACTGAGTTCAATGCAGTGACGTATTGATTACAAATCCCATGTTGTATTAGTTCTTATTCACATTCCTGACAAATTTACATTAAGACTGAATGAAATATGTTATTAAATTGTCTTAGTCATTAATATTTGTATGCTCAGAGTGCCTAAAAGAATGATGTTTAAGTCTCCACAGCGTTTTAACCCGGACTGCCAGTTCAAAATGATTAATTTTGAGAGTAATATATAACAAACTACAAATTGTAGTGAAATACAGTAACTTTTACTAGAAAATTTACTTGTGTACATGGGAACAAAATGATGACTGGCAAAAGTATTTACAGATTTTTTATATTAATTAACATTTAAAAGCTTCAATGTTATACCTGAATATTTTGAATTCTTCACTAAAGAAATCATTAGTTTGAAAAAATTTGGGATTGCTATATCCTTCTCCAAAAATCCAAGCAGCAGAAATAACTGACAGATGAAGCATCCAACTAAAGAATGATAATAGAACATTCGTTGATTGAATTTGATACATACACTATGATGGAAAAATTAACCACTTTTTAATAAATTACAAATATATGTAAGAATCCATTTATGAGATTATTGCTGTCATACTATGTTAATGTACTTCGTGATAATTTTACTGTTAGGTCACATTTTCACAACATAAATTAGTAAAAGAAATTTCCAGTTTACCTTGTCAGTAAATTTTTCATGTAGAACCAGAATTATGAAACAAGTCGTTATAAAGATTTTGTCCCATTACTGTATTGGTTACTTGCCTGTAACCTTTATGTGTTAAATTCAGCATATGTTCAATAAATCATCCGTTTTGATCATTATATTTATTTATGCTGGTTTCTTAAATATGTTTTGTGCCAAAACAGTAACTATGTTAGTTTTTGAACTTCTTTGTGTGTAGATTTAGATAGATCTACAACAGTGCAGTTCTCTGTAGGAATGTAAAAGTATTCATAGGAATTGTAATAATACAGAGAATGTGTATTTGAGAGTTGACTTTTTCACTTATACTAGTTATTGCGCTTTGGCTGATTAAGTATTTATTAAACTTCTCGGATTGTCTACCACGTAGTTCATTTAGTTGTTAGAAAAGACAAACTAAAATAAGATTATAATTATTAAAGTAATAATACACAGAATGACATGGCTTATAGAACAGAGTAATGTTATTAAAGCCTGTTTTTAAATGTAGAATGTTGTAGCTTAGTTGAAAGTACAATATTTACAATATAATAAATGGTGAACATCAGTGGCTTTTGTATTTTGCTTTCCCACATACTTTGTAGAAATTAGATGGGGTTGATGACCTTACCACCAAATATATTTGAAAATAAACAAATTATATTGTAGATCAGTGTGTGAAATTAATATTACACCACCACTTAGCTCTCAAGTATAACATAAAATATTATTTTTGGGTAATTCAATAAACTGTTGATAAAAAGTGGAAATATTCTAAACAACAGCAATGGGAACAACAGATGAACTGATGCAAATACAGTTGCACAATGTTTGAGTAAGTAAAGTTGGTCACCAGGAAGTTAATTAATAGGGACTTCAACTGGGAAATCAAAATATTTTATATTTCTGTGAGTTTCTTTTGGTTACTTGCATATGGGTTTAGTGTTAGAAAAATCTTATTGTGTGTTATTCCTCTTATTGATGTTCAGATACATGTGAAGGAATATAGTGATGTTCTTTTAGCTGCACCCCTAATTCATGACCCACTTCCCATATATAAATATAGGGAAAATCCTGACAAAAAACTTGGTAAATACACCCAAGTGCTTGTGTCTTGAGATATTTATCAAAAATAAGACTGGATATTTTCCTACCTGTTTTTATAATGAATTTACATATTTTCTAGCAGTATTGTCCCAAGTTTTCTTAATAACAGTTGTTACAGATGGGATTAAATGAATGCAGTAAGATGTAGTTCTAACATTAAGAGCACTGCTGCTGGGAAGTGAGTGTGTATTAAAAAAATATATAAATTGTTATATTTACCAAGTATTCTGGGTACCCATGAACTTGTGTGAAACATGTTTTGATAAACTTAATTTATTCTCTGTTGGTGCAGATAACTTTTGATAATAACTCGTGTACTGGAAGCTAAATACCAGTGATGATACTTACTGTCATTATTTTCCACAGCTATTTCTGCTTGGATTTGAAGAAGCTTTGCAACAAATACCTACCCAAAATCAAAATGGTTCTGTGACAGTGACTCCTGACCAGCTGAAAGAGTTCCATTGTCTGGTATCAAGGTATGTCTTTGTTTCCTAGAACTGTGCTAAGTGTGGTATGAACAGCAGGTTTTTTATTAACATTGTTAGATCCTATACAGTATTTCATAAGTACTTAAGCAATGAACATTCTAACTGCAGCATCTGGCTTGTTTAAAAATAGATTGAATGCACATGTAGTAAGGACAAAGCTGTTGTGTGGGAGGTTTGATGTTACATGTGGTATTTTTTTGCTTACATATTTAAAAACAAATTACAATTATTATTCTTTAATTGTTTGATTGCTCTAATAAATTAAGAATCTGTTTAAACTGTATATCCCAGCTGTTCATGAATCCTTGCGAGTTAACTTGTTTGATATTAGTATTTGCAATACTAGTAGGGGAAGAAGTCTAATAGTACAAATTCTAAATGGGGACCTTCATGGATATTTTTTGTGTGTGTGTGTGTGTAATGTTAAAATGATTGTACTAACATAAACTACATGAACGTATGGATAGTTGCAAAAACACGTATAATGTATTTCTTGGACTAATTGATTAATGTCACAAAAATATTCAACTACTTGAAATTCGTGTTTTTTCGATTATTACTATTTTTGATTATTACAATAGAAATATTGCCATTATGAATTCTCATCATTATATTTTACGACTTCAAAGTTGTTCAGCTGAGTTGATTAGTGTCACAACTGAAAATAATCAATTATTTGAATGTAATCAATTAATTAACTCAACAACTAATTGATTATCAAATTCCATTATTCATCCAGCTCTAAAGTTAATACATCCATTTTTACTATGCTTAATCTGTGAGAGTGACATTTGGAATTAACTTTTGTACAATTACTGTTTTTGTGTCAAAAAAAAGTTGAGACAAGTAGTTGCAAAGCAAGATTTCTATTCTTATGAACTTTGAGTAATGGATTTGAGTTTTATCATTTTTGTTTCAAAATATGTATAGATTTTATCGATGCTAGTTGCATGTTTTGAAATAAATGTATATTTCTTGGAATGCCATTTTTGAGAAAGTTCTTTCTCCTTGATTCAAGTTCAAATATATTTAAAGTGTTGAAAATTTAAAAGTGCTATTAGTAGAATGTTTGAAAATAAATTAGTTTGATCCAAACTAAATAGTGAATGACATGTATGTTTTTGTTTTTATTTAGTGCTGAACATGTAAAAACTATCTCAACATCCCTTCGAGACTTTTCTCGGCTCTACAAATGAAAACTGTGATAAAAAAATTTTTGTAGTTGAAGGTACTAGTGATGTTAGGATTCAACAGGGTGATGAGGAAATCTACCCAAATGTTGATGACTGGTCAGAACAACTGACCATGCAAGTGCTTGTGTTTTTGTGTTGCTATAAAAGGACATTGAAAAGATCAGGAACTTTCCTTCACTGTGACACTGAAGAATCTGGTTTTGTGTGAGCTGTTGCTCTTTGGTGACTATGATGAAACATACAGACAGTTCCAGTAACTCAACTTGTCAAACCTGGCATTTCAAAGAGTGCATCAGTTGAGAATATCTCGCCCACTACATATAACAACCAATATATATTTTGTCCTCTAGTTTTTTTAGTATTTTAAAAATAATGTCAAAAATATTGTAAGTACTGAACACCAATATACCCCTATTCCATAGAAGAAATTTTTGTTGTCTTTAGAGAAGTTGTAAAGGTTCCTGTAAGAAATTGATATTTCTCTATTAAAGTTAGGAGCTACTTACTATCTTTTATTATGAGAAAATAATACGTTATTGTGTCTTGTATGATAACTTGCATTTGACTTTTGGATCAAAATCAATGTTTGATAAAGTTCAAATTCTTAAAAATGACATGGTGTAGTGAATGTACTCTTTTTTTTTTCTTTTTTTTTGATACAAAATTCAATGGTAGGATTTGCAGTCTGAAAGAAAAACAAATTTAATATTGCATATGATTGACATGTGTGTAAGGAACAACCAAAATATACTGCATATTAGTATAATAACAGTAACTACAGTCTTCTGAAAATCTGTATGGTATAACAGGAAAATGTTAAAACACAAACACATCTGATAAGATAAAGATGGTAGACTTACTTGTAAGTCACTATTAAGTGTATTCACGCTGAGAGTAAATATATATTTATCCCCACAAATTCATTTCAGGTTGGAGTTTGGTGTATAGTTTCATGTATGCAAATATTATTTTTGTAACTGTATCATTATACACATTACATGATTACTTTCTACATGTAAAAGAATTGGTGGGATCCTTATTAAAAAAAATACGAACTATTTTTTTTTTCATTGTCTTTTTGAAACATTTACACTTGAAGCATAACACTAATTTTTTCATTGTTAATTGATATTTTTGCATTGTTGGGTCGTCCAAACTTTGTCAAAAGTTTCTGGTCAACATAAGGTTATTATTTTAACCAATGTTATTTAATGGTAGTAGTAATTACATGAAATTGGTGAAAACTGTTAGGACTATGTAAAATTACTTATTAGTTTTATACTACAGATTTGAACTAGAACACCCTAACCTTTTTTTTTTCAACTAAGAATATACTTAATAACATTTAACAAGAACTTGAAGTATGAAATATCAGATGTTTTTGACAAGTTTGTTAAACAAAAATTATCTTTAAAAAATACCTTTTAATGAATAAATAATTCAACATCTTTTATAGCTACAGACTGAAGCCACATGACATTGTATATTTCTTTTGCATGTAAAATCTTTTGTTTGTAAACAGATATATGCTCATCATAATAAAATTTGAAGTTAATATTTTAATATAGTGAATTTTCCTTCAGTTTCCTTAAAGTTGACTACAGTTATTTACTTATTAACAACAGTTGTGCTCTAACTTAAGTAATGATTAAATTTGTTTATAAGATTCACACTATAAGGTTGTGTTCATGAAGGATAAGTTCTGTTGTGTCTATTACAATTTAAATACACCATGAAACTAAGTTCTGTCATCTAAAAGATTTCTGGGTCAATTCTATAACATAATTATACAATAGAAAGTTAAAATTTAATGTTTAAAGGAACTTTTTTTTTCCTGTTAAACTATAATAGTAAAGGGATAGATGTAAAAAGGTTCGACTTACATTCTTTTATACAGTTTTTGGGCTGTGGTTTATTTATATTTTATTGCAATTTTAGATCACAATTGAAGACATACAATGTATAATTGATCTTTTTTGAAATTCTGTCATAGAATGTTTGGTAAAAAATCGAGTTTCTGCAATATATAAAGTCCTTTTCAAATTATTTTGTAAAATTTTGGTTCAAAAGGTGAAGACATACTATGTAAAAGTATCTTACTTACAGTTGTCACATACTTATATTGATTTTGTCAAATATGATTATTTGTGCTGTATTTGGTTGTAACAATTGAAGTATATCAATGAAAGATAAATAAGTTAATTTTTTTTCCCCCAAAGGCAATGAGTCATGTTTGAAATGGGTTCAACTTGTATATTATAGAAGTTATTCCAAAAAACATTTGTAACATAAAACTTGGATCAGTGCCATCTTAATATTATCACTGTCATCAAAAGGATCAAGAGATGCAAAGGAACCTGCAACAATTTGGAATGTATGACAAGAAAAGTGAATAAAAAGAAAACTAACTGTGAAGTTAAAAAAAAATCAACACCCAAGTAGGTTCAACTATCGGATTTAAAGAAAAAGGAAATTTATTTCAAAACTCACTGATTATTTATATGTTTTTTTTTCAGTGCAAATATTGCATAGTGTGAAATAATTTTTGGGACGATAATGATAGCAACAACTCCAGTACATCTAGTGGACCAGACAGTTGATTCTCATACTTATAAGTATGTTTCTGTTTTGACTTTGAAAAATAGTATTTAATGGAGATTCTATAATCAAATCACATTTTTATATTTTAGAATAATGTTACATACAGTCCCTAATTTCTTATTAATGTTTAATCTGTTTGTATTTTTGCAAATGTCAGCTATAATTATTTTTAAGACTTGGTTGAATGAAGTTAATTATTTTAATATTTATGGTTCATAAATATTATTTATTAGCAATATCACAATGAATTTTAAATTTGTAAAGTACTGAAATTTTCATTTTTATGAATGCTTGATGACCTACGCTTTATGTATTTTGCAGTTAGAACAGCAGAATCAACAGCTTAAAACAGATAATATATTACTTTGGAATACTTGCAGAGAAGGCCCGGCATGGCCAGGTGGTTAGGGCGCTCAACTCGCAATCTTTGGGGGTCGAATCCCCGTTACACCAAACATGTTCACCCTTTCAGCCGTGGGGGCGTTATAATGTGATGGTCAATCCCACTATTCGTTGGTAAAAGAGTAGCCCAAGAGTTGGCGGTGGGTGGTGATGACTAGCTGCCTCCCCTCTAGTCTTACACTGCTAAATTAGGGACGGCTAGTGTAGCCCTCGTGTAGCTTTGCACGAAATTCAAAAAAACAAAACAAATTTGCAGAGAATCAGATGTGACAATATAAAGTTAAATTACCTGAAATTATTATTAGGAGAAATATTCAAATCAGATCATAAAAATAGTTAAATTAAGTTTTGAAAACATATCGTCAGTTGCTTCTTTACATGCTGTGAAGGTCAAAACCTACAGGTGTTTGAAACTCAAACTGAAATATCTTACTTGCTGTGTCAACACTTGGAAAGTGAGCATGTAAATTAAATTGCACACGAGGAACTATATCTGATGTTGTTATGCTCACAAAATCTATGAGTCAAAAATGAGTTTAACTTCTACAAAAATTAATGGGACTTTCATTTTATGAGACCAAAAGATCTGCCAATGTATGATACAACAAAATGCATGATCAGGTGATTACATCTTATGTTAATGCACAAGAAATAATGGCACAGGGTCTTTATTGGCAACTGAAAGCAGCCTCAATTTAATTATAATTTTGATACCACAATACATGAGGATGATTTAAATAAGATTATCAACTGTTCAGCCGAGACAGATTTTCTAGTTGCAGCCATAGCTGATGACATGGTGGGCAAGGGTTCTTGGAAGGAATGGGGGTATTTCTTCATTAATCATTAGTTTTAAAAATCCTGCTGATCCAACATGTAACATGTTTTCACTGATGCACCACACCTGTTAAAACTCAAAACGAACCCTTTACTGTTAGCAGTTTTATTCTTCACAATGTTGTCAGACATTTTGCATGAATTATCGCATTTAACATCAGAAATAGATATTGCTCATAAACATATATCCCATTATCTAATTGTTAAAGATCCTGCGAGACAAAAACTAAAAATTCCTTCACAGTAATTTTATAAAGCTTTTATGAAGCTTGGAGAAAAGGGCATAATTTGAGTATACCATATTGATTAATGTTTTCAATACATGCTACTCATACAGAAGATAGAAGAGTGAGAATCAGAGCTTACAGTTTAACTTTAAATGAACCAAACAAAACTTTGTAAGCCATGACTGTTGAAGTTATAAAGAAAACATTACAACCTGTTCAAACCAGAATTTTAATTTTCACTCATTCTCTTGACTTCTGTTCCAATACTTAAAAGAACAGTACAGATTGAACTACATATCTTCTTAATCAGGATTTCATAAAAGTTTTTTTTTTAATATAAATTATATGATGAGCATGTTTTGGAACAGAACAATATCTCATCTCAAAAACGTAGGCAGAAATTGATGAGCTTACCATTACAACAATCATATCAAATACCATGCTATTACAGATGGGTGATATTATCTCTTCATCAGAGAACAATCAAGATTTTCAGTTTTTGGAAAAGAATGACATTGAAAAAACTGGTTTATGCTACCTTATAGAATACTTTATCTACCATGTTAGAGAAAAGATGAAAAATAGGGATTATAAAAAAAGTGAGGAAACAAGGTTGGAGATACTGTCAACATTATTTAGCCAAACTACAAACCCCTATTTTGGCTCCATGCTGTTACCTAGAATTACATTTGGTGGAGTCAAAATAGGGATTTGTAATTTAAGTAAATAATATCTACAGTATCTCTAGCCTTGTTTCCTTATTTTTTTTACAATCCCTGTTTGCAGATTTTTAAATTACAAATTTTTATTTATCTTGTTTGCTGGATCTTTTTATGCTCAACTATGGGCAAAAGATTACTTGATATTGTGGCTAACTTTATACATTGTAATGATAATAAACATAGCTAGTAGCTAGCTGATACAGTTATGATGATTTACTATAGGTATTGACTATATGATCACATTAGTTTAAGATGTAAAATGTTCAGCTACAGTTGGAGATTTGTTTGAAAATATAGTGAGCATTTATAGTCCCTGTGTAACTAAATTCTCTATATATGTAGTGCATAGCAATAGGCAAATATATACCTAGACTAAGACACAACCCCCACTAAGTGTGTATCAAATTTTACCATTAGAAAAGCAGCCTTTTCAATTAAACACAGTAATTATTCTACAAATGTGTGTAATAAAATTTAATATTATGTGTACCAATTTTTTTTTACTCCTTCACTTCATACATAATATAGGCATTGGCTCCCTAAAGACACTGATTGTATAGTGTACTAAACATTGAGTATTGTATCTAAAAAACTCAAGTACAGGGTGATACAGGAATTACCAGCCAATAATAGATGACTGTAACATGTAAAGGAACACCAGATATTTGTAAGAAAGCTAACTTCAAGGGGTAATGATACAATTATTTGCACTAAAATTATGATTTTTTAACTTATACTAAGCACTACTTTTTAGCTTGTGTAAAATATAGAAAAAACAAATCGACTTTTCAATACCCATACGATCTTCGCAGTACCTTATTTAGTATTCCACAATTTCAAGACAATTGTTGTATGTTTGTTTATTGTTGGAATTAAACTAACTAAACGGTTACTAACAAACTGTAAGTGCTTTTTCTGTATACATTTCCTAAATCTACTCTGTATATTATTTTTATGCTTAATTATTACTTACTGAAACTTGTCTTAAGAAGAGCATCACTGAGGAGAATACAAAGTTTTTCATTCTTTCATGGATGAGAATAAATAATAATTCAATATATCATTACATTACTGTGGCAGCAGTGTTATTTTTTTCAAATTAGTACAGAAAATGTTTATGTGGGAGGGACAGACCTTAATACAGTTAGTCATGGCTCTGTCCGTATTTTTGGAATATAAGACGCACACTTATTTTGAAGACAAAGTTTTGGGG